TGGCACACACAGGGCCCTCTGCTCTTCCTTGGGGTGCTGTGCCCCCCTGGGCTGCTCTGCCCCCTCCCCACGCAGCAGATGTGTCTGTGGCATCTGGAGGGGAGCTCACTTTTTCTCCTTAGTGGTTTGACACAGCAATTAGATTAGGTTCAATTGCTGGGACTTTACCACCTGTGCTAATAGCCAAAATTGCTTTCAAAGATAGACTGCAATGTTTGGAATTTGCAGAGAGATTGCTATCCCTTTTAATTACATTTTCTGTCTCTAATGAGACAATTATAAGCATTTCAATAGCTCCCAGTCATCAGCTTTCCACTGTATGAGAGCACGGGAGAAAAAGGCATCCTGGCCACCCCCTTTTCTCTCCTCTCCCACTGAGATCTTTGAGCAATTCACAGCTGTGTTATGTATATTCACCTCCATCCTGGCAGCACTTAGGCTGCCCAAAGCCACTCCTGCAGCCACTGCACTGTCCCAGCTGCTGCACCTGAGGAGCAAACCCCAAGTCAGTGACCTTCACAGGGCAGCACACGTGCACGGAGCTGCACGCCCCACTCGCCTCTTCCTCAGCTCAGGTCACAAGTCTGAAATCAAAGATACTGTCCCTAGCGTGGAGAGGAATTGTCTCAGAAGCAGGAGCAGCTCAGGAGGTGCCTGCTGCACCAGCACCAGTCTGTCACTCCGGTGATCCTCGCACAAAGGTCAGCGACTTCAGCCTTAGAAACCGTCCTGGAAAATGAACTGGAAGCTCAGGCTCCTGCTGTGTGGCACCTAAGCACAGAAGGGCTGGTTCCTTCCAGCTAGAAATCCTTTCTGCCCTTGAAACCAGAGCCTTTTAATCTAAGCAGCATCAAATGTTGTTATTGTAAGATTGCATAGCTCTGCAGATAAATACTGCATTTAACATTCCCCTGTAATGAAGTAAAACTCTCTGGTCAAGAATGGAAGTTTATTTAAGGCAATATAAAAATACTGCCATTAATCCAGCATGCTGCTTGCATCCTACAGAGCAGGATGCTGGAGAACAGCCGTCGTGAGCAGGGTTGATGTAAAGGCCTCCCCAAGTGGAGCTGTCAGGAGCCACAGGGCACCTTACACAAAGAGATGGCACACAGATAGAAATGTAATGCACTGTGGTGTCTGCAGCCCCGTGCACTCCAGCCAGCAGAGCACAGAGCAGAAAGAGCAGGAGGAAGGGTGAGAACTTGACCAAGATTCAGCTTCAGGAGCAAGCAGAGTCAGAAGCTCTCAGGATGCTTGCCCAGCCCTGTGTCCCTCTTGCCCCACACACCACAGGGAAAATGCACATTCCTGGGGCTGCAAACGTCACCCACACTTGAGATTTCTGCACTGAGATTCCTTCAGGATTAGCATACATGGTTTGTGACGCCAAGAGACCAGGGAACAGAGCTGGGACTTCTGGAAACAAGGAATTTCCAGCCAACCTGGAAATATCAACTGATTTTCAGACCAAAATAATTTCCTTTACATTTCTTTTTTGGCTTTTTCCTTACAGCTTCTAGAAAATCAGTCTGAAAAGCTTTGCTAAGGCTCAGAGTCGTCCAGCTGCAGCCCTGCCACAAGCACAAACCGTGTGTTAACAGCTTCCATCACAAACCCAGGCAGTGGGGCCCAGGTGTGCAAGCTGCTGCCAGCACCCTGTCCTTGGGGAAGCTTCTCCAGGCACCAGCAGCACTGGGGTTCACCTGTACCTGCTTAAACATGAATCACTGCTGTCTGACTAGAGATGATCTTCCCGGCACTTTTCTGACTAAATCATGCTGTTTTGACACACCAGTTCAAGAGCTGTCACTTTAATTATAAGAATGAGTGGTGATGCAGAAAGCCAGCAGTAGCAGCAACAACAAAACAAAAAAGAAAAATTACAAATCCCCAACTGCTAGAACCAGAGCTTTAATGAGATCAGTGGGGAGGCTGGAGGAGCTGCTTGCTGCACGTAGGTGCAGGACAGGATGAGCACCCAGAGCATCTGAGGGGCCCTGGGCCCTGCACAGGAGGGCTGAGGTTTGGCAGCTGAGGAGATGAAAGAGAAGAGGAGCTGCAGGCCCAGGGCTTTGCAAGAGGCCAGGAGCTGAGCAGGGTCCCAGCCTGGCACTGCTTGTCATCAAAGTGCTGAGCCTGATATCAAGTTATTGACATTTTCACATAAGGCCAGGTAGCAAGAATTAACATTTGCTACTCAAACCTTTTGGGGGATGAGTGTTCTTTTCAAAAGAAATGGAAAAGTAAAAAAGGGGAAAAAAAGAAAAATAATAAGAGAAAGTCAGTGATCTTATTATTTAAAGACTCAAAATACTCAAAATTAAGAATAAAGGACAAAAAATGTTTTGAAAGCTAGAGATAATAGAATAGTCTCAGTTATGGAGAAGTATTGCTAACTCCTACCACTCCAGCAGAATATGCTCAACTCGTAAAAGCAACAGTTTGTCATTAGAACAATACAGCTATTTAAGAAAATTAAATTTTTGTTGTTCTTTTTCTTTACCTTTGGCTCTATTTCTGGGCATATTTTATCTCTTGTTTGTAAATGTGCAAGGGCTCTTTCCCTATGGAAGGAAGCAGATCCTCCTTCAGATGAATGCAGTCCCACATACCAGGACACTCAGGGAGCTGATGGGCCTATGAAGATACCATGTAAAAATGGTCTTTAAACACCTTCTGTTTCAAATGCAGAAGAAAACAGTTTAATCCCAGGCTGGAAATTACAGGGTTAGGGTGAGGAAAAGCACAATTCCCCCATGGCCTCTCTCTTTCTCCATCCCATGTCAATGAAAGATTTCTCTACAAAAGAAAATCACATGAGCTCTTCAGCAGGTTGTAAAATGATCTGGATTTTTTTTTTTTCTTGACTTTCCATCATTAAAAATTGAGATCCTGGGCTGGAGAGCAGGAGCAAGTGTAGGAACATCAGCTGAGCTTAATTTTGCTTTTGCGTAACTCCGGCCCGAGGTGCTCTGAGTCCTTTGCTGTTTTTGGTGTGGAGCCAGGCGGGTGCAGGTGGAGCAGCCCCGGGCAGTGCTGCACCCCGGGAGCAGCAGGAGCAGTGCTGCACCCCGGGAGCAGCAGGAGCAGAGCTGCACCCCGGGAGCCCAGCAGCAGCAGAGCTGCACCCCGGGAGCCCAGCAGGAGCAGTGCTGCACCCCGGGAGCCCAGCAGGAGCAGAGCTGCACCCCGGGAGCAGCAGGAGCAGAGCTGCACCCCGGGAGCAGCAGGAGCAGAGCTGCACCCCGGGAGCAGCAGGAGCAGAGCTGCACCCCGGGAGCCCAGCAGGAGCAGAGCTGCACCCCGGGAGCAGCAGGAGCAGAGCTGCACCCCGGGAGCCCAGCAGGAGCAGAGCTGCACCCCGGGAGCAGCAGGAGCAGAGCTGCACCCCGGGAGCAGCACGGGCAGAGCTGCACCCCGGGAGCAGCAGGAGCCCCGTGCAGGACAGAGCCAGCTCCTGCCCGTGCTGGGTGGTCTGTGCTCTGGCTCACCCTCGAGAGCAGCCTCTCCTCCCGCCCAGCCTGCCCTGCTTGCTCACACTACAAAGCCATTCCCCAGCAGTATTTTGCCTTGGATTTCCAAAGCTTCATTTTTTCCAAAACCCAGGTAGTAGAAATTATGGAGATCGTAATGATGAGTGGTGATAAAACTCCTAAAGGGAAACAGGCAGGACGCAGTATGTGTCAACACCGTGAGCTGATTTTCATTTGCAGGGAAAAGGATCTGACAACTTCATCTCCTTCTCTCCTTCTTCTACTCAAAAGGCTCACTCGTGCTCGCTCTCACACACTTCCCCCAGGAATTTACCAACAGGATCTGTTTGTACAGCCACACAAGGTGTGGAGGTGCAGCCAGCACACTGCACAGCCCTTTTTAGGATGTGCTGATGCAGAGACATTCGCAATGTCTCGTGTCACCAAGTGACAGTCTATGCAGAAACACAGCTGCTGCGAGGGTCCCTTGGGGGCTAAATCTTTCATACTCCTGCATCTCCAGGCCACAGGGAAGGAAGGAAAGGCCTGGCTGTCCTACCATGCCACAGCAGTAACTCTTGATAAGACCTTGCGTTATCAGTCTCAGCGATGAGGCAGCAGCAAAGGAAACCCTTGTGGAAGACTAGTTTTTTAAAAACTACTACACAAAAGCTGCATCCTTTATAGCTTCAGTACTCAATTCTGAAAGGATGTGGTAAAAGCAGGGCTTCCCATGATCAACACTTTGGGTAGATTTTGAAAATGAAAAACTTTTCCAATAGCTGTTTCCATTCTGCTCCTGAAATAACCACCCGTCTTCTTTAGGAGCCAATGGCTCAATAAGGGGCTTCTGGAGGAGAAAGAAAATCTTCCAGCACAAAATGCTACTCTCATTACAGACCACCAAGAAATGAAACTGGCTTTCAGCTGGACAGAGATCCTCACTGCAGAAACCAAAATGACATGCTCCAGTGATTTATTCCCAGCCCATCCCTGGGGGTCACACCCCTCCATCACACACCAAGTGCTCCCGAGCAGGCCACAAGTTAATGACAGGTTATGTTACACTGTGAAATACAAGACCTTTTGGTTTTTTCCTTAAAATCTTCCTCCTCTGGGATGATACCAGCCCCTGCGAGTCTTTAATTCACAGACAGCTTGTAGCACATAATGAGAGGCAGAGCCTTGCTCTCAAATCCCTGCTGCACTGGCCAAAGGCTTCAGGTGCTTCCAGAGCTCTCCTGGCCCTCCACACACCTCAGCATCTGCAGCATGAACCAAAACCAGCCCCAAACCAGAGCTGGAGCTGAGCATTAAAACTCTCTGCTGGATCCACTCACCTGGGTGTGACAAATGGGGTGACCTCGATCTCACCCTGCAGTGAGTTCCTGTCTCGAACAAATTAGGTTAAGAAGCTAAAGAGATGGCACCACACAGATTAACCAAACAGACAGACATTGGGAGAATATCTCCAGTCTCCTTTATTTTCATTTATAGAAAAATATGAATATTAGTCAGCAGAATATAAGGAAAATATTTCAAGTATTTCTCAGTCAAAACCACATGGCTATAGTCAGCACTCCTGGCACAGCTGAGCTGACTTCCTATTTAGAGCCCCAGGACTGCATTGCATTTTGGGCCAGCTCAGAGATGTTCCTAGAAACTTCAGTCCAAGGGCCAGTTTGTCCCTATTCTCACAGATTTGACAAGCACATTTCTAAGTTCTGTCATTACTTCAACAGCACAAGACCAACCTGCTGTAAGACTGAGGGCTAAATGAAATTATGAGACCAGGGAGGATGAAAATAGAAGGAACAGATACACAAACACGAGCAGGAAGTATCCACAAAGTGCTGCTGCCACAAAAAGAAGGCACTTGGATTAATTTGTTTTGCATTGTTGATTCTTCATTAAGATTTTTTTAAAAGAATAATTAAACCTGGCTTCTTATGGCCTTTTCTGTTTGATTTGTTATTTGGTAAATTCTCATTCCTTTCAAGAAATGAGGAATTGCAAGAGGGCATCAAGGTCAGACAAGATTCTCTCAGGGAAAAAAGAGATCGGCGCTTCCCAGCCTGATTTCCTTGGAAACTGAGGAGCACACACAGCCAGAGAGGATTCCAGGTGCTCTGGAAGGGCAGGGAAAGCAAAGCCCCTGACATGGAGAAGTCATTCTTTGGCTGGGGCTCCTGCTGCTGCGGCACGCTGGGCTTGCTGGGACTGCCAGGAGAAGTCAGATGAACAAGAAGCTGTGAACAGAAGGGCAGGAACAAGTGCCCAGCTGGCGAATCCTCCTCCAGGTTCCCCTGCAGCGATGGTTCCCCATCGCCTGCCAGTGCAGCAGCTGGTTCCTGAAACACAGTCATTACAGGTGAGAGAAAAGGAGCTGCACCTCCACTGCAGGGCAGCCACCACGAGGTACCACAGGGCTTGAACCGCCCAGTAAATCCTATTTAGTCTGATAACATCCATTCTGTTAGCAGACAAAATGGGCCCGATTCTGCCTCTCTACCACTGCAAAGCAGCAGCAGCAGCCACAGTGAGGCCCACAGGTTGTACTAGTGTGAAGTGAAACCTAACAGTGACAGGAACAGACATCTTTCTGTAGCACTGCACCCCTTCCCAGATTTTATCATTCAGTGCTTTAGGGAAATCTCCCACATGGGTATCTCCCAGCCCTGACCTCTGGAGAAGCACAGCAACCACGACTGGATCCAGAGAGCTGCCCACAGACAGCCCAGAGACCCCCAGCTTCTCCAGAGAGCTGCGTGCAGCGCAGCGTGACCCCGGAACAAGCGGCCCGAGGGAGGAGAACGACAAACTCAACACACAGACACGAGGAAGAGCTCTCACTGGCGGCTGCCGGAGCCGTCCCTGCGGCACCGCTGCCGCAGGGGCTGCAGGGCTGGCTGCAGGGCTGGCTGCTGGGCTGGCTGCAGGGCTGGCTGCAGGGCTGGCTGCTGGCACTCCACGCACACCGTGCGGCCCTCGCCGAGCTCGCGCGTCCAGCGGCCGTGCCGGGGCTGCCTGTGCCCGCAGCCCGGCGCCAGGGCCACCAGCTGGAACTGCACACAGTACCTGCAGGCCAACAGCCCGGTCAGCTCAAACAGCAGGGCAGGCCTGCAAGGGGCTGCCAGGGCAGCACTCACCTGCAGGACCACAGAACACTGATTAAGAAAAAACAAACCAAACCAAAAAATCCCCCCGTCCAAGGTCATTAAGAGCAGAACATGTCATGCACCTGCATTTTGACAAGGTTAAATGGGGAATAAAACTACTCTGCTGAGGTTTTCAGCTAACATATAAAAAGTATCAGGTATGACTGGCACCTGTTTTTACCAACAGGGACAAAGACTGGTCAAGCATTTGACTAATCTAATTCCAAGACTGGTATCCACTTGCTGAGCCACATTTCCTCTGTCTTCTCCTCTCAGTTACTCAGAATGGATTTTGTAGGGCAGGTTGTGATGGGAGCTAAGACCTGCTCTGTAAAGGTTTTCCTGGTGATGCTCTCCCACGTGCACCAGAGAGACTCTGCGGGTGGAGTACAGCTGAGTCCCTGAGCTGAGCCTCCGACTTACCCTGCCCTTTCACTGCCGTCAGCTGCAGCTCTTCTCTGCCTCGCTTTTCCAAACCCTCCCGCAGTTATTAATGCTGGGACTGTGGTACCAAAGAGAAAGGGGACAGAGCGTCAGTGGCAGTGCTGCTCTGAGGCTCATTATGTCTGCAAAACAGAAAGGGTTGGCTTTTGATGTCATAAGGTTTTAGCTTTAGCAGGAGACAAAAACAATTCTAACTTTGTATTTTCTTACTATCTATCACTGACAACCGTTCCACTGAGCAGAGAATCTGCACAGCTGCCAGATTTTTGCCTGAGCAGAGTAAGCCTACTTAAGGGAACAGCCAGAGACAGAGGAGGAGGCAATATCCACTTAATGCCAGCTCTCAACACGTTTGAAGAGGTCACCTGCAGCTGACATCCAGACTGGACAGATTTTGAACCCAAAACAACAAAAAAAATTACAAGCAATTCTTCTAAAAAATCAGTAAAGGTGTTCCATGAAAACCTGATTTGAACAAACTAAACCCAGGCTTTTTCTCCAGAAATTATCCAGAGTTCTCCCTTGCCTGCACTCTGCTCCAGTGCACACAAGACGTATCTCAGCACTGAGAGGCATCACTCCTTTGCAACTTTTTGCAGGTAAGTCCTTAAATAAATAATCGTATAGAAAATAATAAATAAACATATAATAACAAATATATATTATAATAAATATATAATATACATTACATAATATATTAATTATATATTTTATAGAATTCTATCTATATTTTATATATCATTATATATAACCATATAGTTATTTTACTATATTATATTTAAATATCTATTTTAATATCTAATATATTAAAATAATTAATAATTAATATAATACTAAATATATATTAATAAATAAGTAAATATATAATAATAAATAATAAATAAATGTATATATTAATGGGGGGAAAAGTGTGTAACACACAACAGTTTAAACAGACACAAATCTGCCAATCTCATCAAAATTTCCAAAGATTTGCACCTGTATAAGTGAGAGCACAGCAGACCTGTAACATCTCTTGTCTGAGACACAGTGGATCACAGCAAATGGTAGGCACCACTTGCACCAGTCCTGGGAAGGACGTGCCTAAGCTCCTGTGTGAAGAGCTCAGCTCTCAGTTAGCCCAGGCAGGCCCATGGCAAACACACCAGTGTCTAAAAACAATTCTTCAAACAGAGGAAGAAACAGCTCTGCTGACCCAGACCAGAGTCCTCCCCACGCCTACCCAGGCACCTTGCAGGGGACTTACTGAGGGAGTGCTGGCACTCTGCTCCTCGCCGAGTCCAGTACTCCACACAGCCAGCCCTCTGCTCCAGAGCAGGACACGCTGCTCCCCCGTTCCTGGGCTCCTGGACGATGTGCCTCGTCCGGACCTGACAGGTTGTCTTGCAAGGCTCTGCGCAGCCACTCCAGGCACTCCACTGAGAGACCACGCAGGGGACAACTGGGGCGACAACAGCAAACGGGGATGTGGAAGGTTACAGGAATGATGCCAGCGAAATGCCTGCTGCAGAAATAGCACTTTTTGACATAGCTCAGTACATCCGTCCTTATTTCAGAGCCGTCCCGCAGCTGTCTTGGGCAGCTCTCAGCAGTTCTCCTCCAGGCTCCCCCGCCTCCCCACGGGCGCGCTGAGCCCGGCGGTGCCGCAGTCGCTCACCCGGGCAGGCCTGGCCGTAGTCGTGGCAGCAGTCCAGGCTGCGGGCACACGCCTGGTCGCAGTAGCAGGGCCCGGCGGAGCCGTCGGGCCGCCGGCCGGCGCCCAGGCAGGCGCGGTCGCGGCCGGGGCAGCAGAGCCCGCGGGCGGCGCAGCCCGGGGACACTGCGGGGACAGCCCGGCCCGGCTCGGCTCGGCTCGCTGCCCGGCCCCGCTCGCTGCGGTCCCGGCCGCAGGTGCCGCTCGCTCCTCTCGCTCCGCCGCCCTCGCCTCGTGCCGGCTGTGCCACCCCACTGCCCCTGTCTGTGGACTCACCAAACCGAAACTCTTCAGCGCTGGCTGCTGGCATTTGCCCACCAGATTATCGACACGTTATCGTCAAAAGCAGATGATAGAGGAGACCAAGTTTTTTGCCGGATTTGACTCCAGCATACCTCAGGAGCCATTAAGAATGGAAAGTACTTTGCTGCCAGTACAGCAGCTCCTAAGGACAATGATCCGGCTGGCTATGCTACCTCTCTACAAAATTACCCTGAATTTTCTTCTTAATTCGAAATACAAGAAGCTTAGAGAGATTACAGCCGCTCCTGTGAATTATTTAGCTATTCAGTACAAAGCAAAGGGCTTTACTGTAACTTTTTAATCAAAGAGGCTTGCTCTAAAATATTGATCACAACAGATGTTATACCTTGCTGAACACTGAACTGGGATTTATAAAATCCACCCACGGACTTTTTTTTTGGAAGTGATTATGTTATTGTACTAAGACTGGGTATGGACAGTGTTCCCATTTCAGGGAAACTGCAGCAAAGATGTTTCTAGAAAAACAGAAAAGGACAGGTTAACACCTTCAGCATGTACAATTTTGGAGGCATGGGCACAGAGGAGACCTGGCACTGCATCAGCTCAGGCATAACATGGTAAAATGTTCAAAAAATATAAGAAATAGAGCGTTAGCTTCTTTGTATATCATAGATGTCTGCAGCAAAGAACAGGCATCTCATTTTCTTGGCAGTGGTCAGATATTGTCAGCTTGGAAATTGCACGCGTGGCAAATCCTTCATTGAGCTAGAGGCACGAAGGCTGGGAGAGGGAAGAGCTCTAGAAATCAGCAGCTATGGGGTCTCGGAAGCAGGAATTTAAAGATACCGTGTTAATTGCTGCCTCTGCCAATGAGTCACTGTGTGCCCTCGGGTAAGTCGTTTAACCAAGGCATGTCTCGTTCTTGATCTAGAGCGGGAAGGACATTCACAGGGAGATTGCATTGCGCAGCTGATTCGTTCGCAGGGCCAGGGCGCGGCTCTTGCGCGATTCCCGGCGGGGCAGTAAGAGCAGCCCCAGGCCCGGCACTCTGCTGCCTGCTCCACATCCCCTGCCTGCAGCTGCGGGAGGAGGAACACCTTCACGCTATTCTGAGATACACAGACTGAATGAAAATTAGCTTCAGAAAGCTATGGGTCCACATAAATACTGCAATTTTGACTGGCCCTGTGTGATTAGGAAAATTGGATCTCGGTCCATGCAGTCAAAATATGCCTGGGTCTTTGGGAATACAAATGTTACAACTCTCCCTGTGTATGAAAATTTCTATTAAAAGCAACATCAGACAGAGAAATAATCTGCGCTATTTTTCTCTCAAATGCTCATGGCACCAAGAAACAGATCTGTTTGGGAAAAGTAAACATTTGCTGAAACACACCAGCCCAGTGAGTGACTGCAGGCTTCAGTTTAGGAAGTTACACAAGTACCACCAGCGAGGTCTGTTTCTGCGGCAGCTGCTGGAGCAGAGCTGGGCCCGGCCCAGCAGAGCCCGGCCCGGCAGGAGCAGAGCTGGGCCTGGCCCAGCAGAGCCCGGCCCGGCAGGAGCGCGGCTGGGCAGGGCAGGAGCAGCCGGAGCCAGCCTGTGCCCGAACACTGCTGACCCCGTCTCGTTCAAACCATCCAGCAGACAAACCCGGGAGCTGACCGGGGCCAGCAAAAGTCAGCCTGCTTTCAATTCCGAGTTAAACCTCCTCATCCCCACCTCTTGCCAAAGCACTGCAGTAAGAGATTTTCTAACGGGTTATCTGTCCCCCCAAGGCTGCTACAGCCCAAGCAGTGTCTGTACCGGCTCCCCATGCCCCAGGAGCTTCTGTCACGGCTGCTCTGGGGACACCGCAGCAGACCGGGGGGCTCTGGGGACACCGCAGCGGGTCCGGGGCCCCGGGTGCCCGCAGGCCGGGCCGGGCTGGCGCCGCCCTGAGGGGCGGCAGCGGCAGCACAGCGCCCCCTGCGGGCCGGTCACAGCGCCCCCTGCGGGCCGGGCACAGCGCCCCCTGCGGGCCGCAGGTCCGCCGGTGCCCAAACCCTGCCCCAGGTGCCCAAACCCTGCCCCAGGTACCCAAACCCTGTTCCCAGGTGCCCAAACCCTGCCCCCAGGTGCACAAACCCTGCCCCAGGTGCCCAAACCCTGCCCCCAGGTACCCAAACCCTGCCCCCAGGTGCCCAAACCGCCCCTCCAGCATTCAGGGGTTGCCTGGGATTAACCTACCAACCAGGGTAATTAGTAACCTACCAAGAGTTTTAGACTTCATCCTGATGCATATACGCAATAGCAGCAAAGCTGGAAACCTGACCCGAGCGACTGCTCTTGCAGAGGCAATAAAACACGCCAAGAACATGTTTCAGCTGCATGTCCCTCCAGCTCCCTCTGCACACGCACTCTCCTCCCTGCAGAATGTGCTGGTAGGTCTGCTCATTACATTAATGGAGGTAATTGTATTAGCAGAGTTCTGGTCCCTCACCAGTAAGCAGTTTTAAGAGATCAGGCTGCTTACATTAATTGAATAAGAAAAATCTCTACTCAATTTAATTGAAGACTGCTTTGAATGTTGAATACTAGCTGGTTTTCCATCACTGCTGTTTCCTACTAAGCATACATGTGCCAAAGGCCACTATCAGCTCAGACACCTCAAGTTCCATCCCAGAACCACTGAATTGATTTAATTAAGCAGAAGCTGAGCACAGACTGCACCCTTCCCCAGACCTGCAGCACAGCAGCAGCCACAAGGCTCAGCCAAGCACTTCTGCTCAGGGTATGTGGAGCCCTGCTGCCGTGAGACACCTCTCGGCTTGAGGCAGGCAGCTCCAGCACCACTCACAGCAGCACACTGGTGCTGTGCCAACTCCCCAAACCACTGAGAGATCCAGGAGCGTGCTGTCAAACATGGGTCAAGAGAATTTCAGTTACCAGCCAAACTCACTCATCATCAAGATTTTATTAAAACCAGGCTTCCAACAGTACAGAAACACACTGTGCCCTTGCCAGGGATACAGCACTGCAGCTTTCTGGGCAGCAGGGGAGAACCACAGCCTGACCCTTCCTTGCCCACAAGGCCACCTCCCGTACTGACAGCTGCTCCAGGAGAGGCCTCCTTGCCTTTTCTGACACGAGCTGCCAGGCAGGGAATGCAGCCCCTGCAGAAAAATGCATCCAACTGCACTGAACATGCAGCCAGTTCCAGAATCCATTCCAGTTACATGCCTTGTACCCTGGGGACAGAAAATGCAACAGCCTCCATCTAAGCTGGCAGGACACAAATTCATCACTCCTGACAGCTCTGAGAGGTCAGAGCTATTGCAGGGTATGGGAATGCTGGGGCTGGAAGGAGGATCCCAGGCAGCAGCAGAACCGTCCATCTTGAGCAGAACACTGAAACTCCAGCAGGGCCCAGGACAACTTTTTATAAATCTCAACCTGTAAAGAGAACAGACATTTTGTCTATCCACTGTACCACAACAGCAAATATACAGCTTTAAAATCCACCACAGCCCACATAAAAACCACTAGACAATGGCTGCTCTGTAAAGAGAAAAAGTTCCCTCCTTGCCAGGCACTCCAAACAGGATGAACTCAAACTGCACTGTGGGAGCTTTCAGGAACTAACAGAGCGTTCCCTCCTTGCCAGGCACTCCAAACAGGATGAACTCAAACTGCACTGTGGGAGCTTTCAGAGCAGGACCTGACAGGAACTAACAGAGCAGAGAGTGACAGAGAAGCATGTCAGCTCAACCAGCTCCACCCTTTGAACTCAGTACTTGCACCCTCTTGCTCACAGAGAGGGCACAATCCTGCTCTTGGGAGACTCCAGCCTCCCCGCAGACAGAGCAGCTGCTCTCAACAGCAACAGGAGGCTGGAACTGGATGAGCCAGTGGCAACAGCTGTTGATCTGAGTAAGTTCTGTTAAGCACATTTTCTAAAAAAATAGCGAAATGCTAACCAGACAGACAGGTATTCAGATGTCACAGTTTATCTTCAAGTAACAAAAAGAACACCAAAAGCAATCCCTCTCTTACAAACACACTGCTGAAAGCACATGTGTTTGCAAGAGACTTCATCCACTTCTCAAGACATTGAGAACCTCCCAGTGGGGGGAGTGAACCCAAAAACTGTGAAGAACAAAAGCTCTTGGACTCTGCAGGAAGTACCTTGTTTTAACACTGCTTAAATAGGGCAAAACAAAAACATTACATTTATGCCCCTGAAGCTGAATTGAAAACTTTCAGACTTCTCTGCCTTGAATTTGAGAACTTTGGAAAGAACTTCAACTAACAGGAACTTCCCTGCAGGAAACTGGAGTTTTTTTAACATGGATACTCAGGTTTCAGCACTAACAAGGGCCCCTTCTGCAATACTAATCCCCACTCTGCCAAACATCCAGGGACTTGTCAAGGCACTGCAGAAGCAACTTCCTTGGAAAAAGGTGTTCTTTCCCTTTTTCTTTATTAAAGCCAGTGAACATAGGTGAATTAAAGACTCACCATTCTCCCCTGACAAAGGGGCACACATGGTGGAGCAAACCAGACAATGTCCTCATCCACACCTCTTCATTGTCAGCTGCAGCCTGAACTTCAGGTCTCCCCAAGGCTCGTCCCCCCCACTTCTGCCTTCACAGTGCCCTGGGGGTAAAAGCAAATAGAACTGTCAGCACCAGACCCTGTCAGGGTGTGGGACACAGCAGCATTTCCCTGCTGGTGCATCAGACATGATCTGGCTTGAACAGCAAGAAATCAACACTGTCGCTCTGATGGGGAAAAAATTCAGTCATCACTTACACCAGCAAGTCCCTAGGAGCTGTGGCTGCACACCCACTGCAGCTGAGCCACACTCCCACCTTCCCTGGCAGAGCCACAGGCACCAGCAGCTAACAGAGGAAGTGGCAGAGCCATGCCCACACTGGCAATCCTTGGCACCCCCTTAAGCTGGCAGCAAGGGTCAGGGCAGCAGAGCCTTGCCAGCAGCACCTCCCACAGGGACACTTCACCAGAGGCTCCTGTTCCTTACTGGGGCGGCTGCTCGGGGCTGCCCACCACCCACAGTGTCCGTGCAGTGCCCTCAAAATGAGCCCTCTGAACACAGTGCAGCAGGGAAGCAAACAGGACAGAGCTGTAAGCCACCACGCTGCTGCAGCTCAGCACACAGCGGCAGCGTGCAGCTTCCTGGCCTGCTGACTGCCATTCACTTTGGACATGAGGAACAAGAGGCCCAAAGGACCTCAAAGCAGTGCTTCTGCAGGAGGAAAATCCCTGTACTCTCACTTCTACAAAACCTAGGCTAACACTCATCACTACGGTCTCTAGGGATAAACTGGAACAAACTTCCTTGCAGAAAGGTATTTTTATCCCTTCCCCTCCTATTCTCCTTTATAAATTTAATCAAATGTGATTCACTTACTTCAAAGACTTACCATTATTTGCTAGAGATTCAGGCATGGTGGAGCAAACCAAACAACTGCCCACATCACACACCTCTTTGCTGCAGCCTGAACTTCAGGTCTCCCCAAGGCTCGTCCCCCCCACTTCTGCCTTCACAGTGCCCTGGGGGTAAAGACAAAGGGAACCATCAGCATCACAGCCCCGACTGCAATATTCTGGGCATTTGTTAACACCAGGGTGTGGGACACAGCAGCATTTCCCTGCTGGTGCATCAGACATGATCTGGCTTGAACAGCAAGAAATCAACACTGTCGCTCTGATGGGGAAAAAATTCAGTCATCACTTACACCAGCAAGTCCCTAGGAGCTGTGGCTGCACACCCACTGCAGCTGAGCCACACTCCCACCTTCCCTGGCAGAACTATAGACAATGAGGGAGTGAGTTCACGTAAAGTCTTCCCCCAAAATGTGGCTGGTTGGCATGCTCTGCAAGTACACAGGACAGGGAAATATTCCCAAAAAACGGAGAACAGCAATGTATGGGTGTTCTAGAGCAGAGTTCAAAACAGCCAAGACATTTAACAGAAGAGGCATGAGACAGAGATTAACCCATTACTACCGCCTCTCGCAGCCGCAGGTCTGTGTCCACGTGCGGCTCCCGTTCCCGCCGGCAGGCGCCGCGCCGCCCGCGGCCACGGCACCGGCAGGCGCAGCACGGGCCGCTGCGGGACGGACCCGCTGCCCTCCAGCGACACCACCCCGGCAAGGCGCGGCCCGGGTAACTCAGCAACTGCTCTGAAAGAGCACATTTAAATAAGTGCTGTTTTAATTCCGTACGGAGCAGGTATTTTGCAGACTTACCGCCTGGCCCCGGCAGAGGCTCGGGCCTGCCGGCGCACGCCGGGGAAGTGCCCTCATGGCCGGCCTGGCTCCGGGCACGGGGCTCCCGCAGGCGCCTTGGGCTCCGCCGCCCTACGGGGAAACAAAGCACAGTGAGTACCGGGAGCAGCGGACGGTCAGCACCGGCCCGCGGCCGCTCCGCTGGTGCATCAGACACGACCTGGCTTGGAAAGCGATGGTCAACACTGCCGCTCTGACGGGGAAAGAGTCATCACCTCTACCAGCGAGCGCCCGGGGAGCGCGGCCGGAGCCCGCTGAGGCGGCCCCGGGCACAGGCCCCGGGCCGAGCGGGAGCGAGGCGGCCACAGGGCGCGGCAGCCGCCTCAGCGGACGGGCGGGCAGAGACGCCTCCGGCCGCCCGCCCGCAGAGCCCCGGCCCACCCCCAGGGAAGGGGCACGGGAATCCCGAGCGTTCCCTGACCCACCGGCCCCCCCACCCACCTCGGCCGATCCGGAGCAAGAGGCCGCGGAGCTCCGCGCGAGGGAATTTATGGGCTCCGGAGGCCCCGCCCCGGGCCCGCCCCGCTGCCCGCGCCGAGGGGCCGCCATCGCCGCCATGTGGGGCGGGGCCGCTGAGGCTCCAGCTGGAGCAGGGGGCCGGGCTCGGGGGCGGGGCCGCACCGCCGCTGTGGAAGGCGCCGCCATTTCGCGTGCCGCGCCGCCCGGCGTGCCGGGGCAGGCGGAGCGGGGCGAGCGGCGCAGCCCGGGGTGTCGTGCGTTTGGTATCCTTTACCGGGATCGGCGAGCGTGGCTTCGGACACTTAATTCTCTTTTACAAGCTAAATAAAAAAAGCAGTTAAGTGGCTGGTGGAAAGGCGCGAGCGCTGCGGCATCCATCGCGGCCGGGCACCCCGCTGCCTCCGCTCGGGGCTGGCTCCGGGAAACCGGCCCCTGCCTGGGGCGCACATCTCAGGTTTTCAGGTGCTTTAGACAGGTAAATCATGTTGCGTTAAATAGCTTGCCACTGAGTAACGTGGGGAAAGAAAGGATGGCGTGAGAAAGCAAAAGATGTGTCGTGAATGAGAGCCCAGTTTGTAACCCCAGAGCGCCGTGAGCGGTGATTGCTGTAGCTGAAACTCGCCTTGCAAAGGGGCAGTGGCGGCAGTCAGGCCCCGGGAGCCCGGGCACGTTCCAGCCCGGGGCGCTGAAGGTTTCCGGGCCAGCAGCGCGAGCGGCCCGCGCCCGCCGGGCCCAGCCGGGCTCACCCAGGCTCAGCCGGGCCCAGCCGGGCTCACCCGGGCCCAGCCGGGCTCAGCCGTGCTCAGCCGTGCCCAGCCGGGCTCACCCGTGCCCAGCCGGGCTCACCCGTGCTCAGCCGTGCCCAGCCGGGCCCAGCCGGGCTCAGCCGGGCTCACCCGTGCCCAGCCGGGCTCACCCGTGCCCAGCCGGGGCCCCGGGCAGGCAGGCACTTCTGTCTCTGGAGAGACGGGGCTGAAACGGAGTCACGCAGGGACAGGGACACAGCCAGAAGCCTTTAGAGCAGCTGGGACTAACGCGGCAGAGGAAGAGCTGTGTCCTGCAGGAGGAAGCTCTGGTCCAGACTGGCTCAGAATCCTGTCGTGGCTCCATGCTTCTTTATTTTTCTGTTTGTGAAATGCACATGCTTAATTCAACTCCTGTTAAAATGCTTTTTCCCTATTAAGTGTGTTTGTAGGCAAATAATTTTTGAAAGCAGCTTATCAAACAGGACTTGTGGAATAAATCTCAGTGCTGTTAAACCGAGTACCAGAACACCAAGAGATGAAAAGACAATCAAAGGAAGGACATTTTAAGAGGATTACAGGGAAAACTAATCTTGTTACACTGCAAACCCCTGTCACATGCACAGCACAAAAGGAACTGTAGACATGATTTGTGTTGCCTAGCTTGGCAAGGAAGGGAAAGTGGGGAGGTCTGAGATAGTCAACAGCTGCAGCAGAACTTAGTATTAAATTTATTCAATTTTATGTTTGGATTTTACTCTCCTTGGCAAAACCAGGTGGAAAACATCTTTAGCTAAGTGAGTTCTTCAGCTCAGTCAGGCTCCTTGAACTCAGGAAGTTCCTCAAGGGGCAGCAAAGTCTCCAGTCCCAGTTCTCCTTGTTCCCCTGCAGTGCAGCAGAGCTCTGGTGCCCTACAGCCCATCCCAGGACATCAGGGGACACTCCTGTGTCCTGCCCAGCCTCACAGGTGTGCCAGGGTTAGGGTAAATGGCTAAAAGACACACTTATTTCTTTTTAAAGTAGCACAGCCCCGAAGAATGTATTTGTATTCTCTGCCAGCCCTCAGGGGGATTCTGTCAGCGTCTCCCATGTGCCAGCTCACAAGTGCCAGCACAGAACCATTCTTTTCTCTGGGCAGGAGAGACAGGAAGAGATGAAGTGTTCTTGAATTGCTAAACAAGGCCTTGTCAGATTAAATGTTTCACGTGCCATCCTCTTCACTGCTACATTGTTATGTTCAGGGTTCTTTTAAGATCAGAACTGACTATGAAGAAATCCAAATTTTGGTTGGGATACAACCTCTGCTTTCCCAACATAATAACCTAAACCAGAAAATCAGATGCCTACAATATTCTTGACATTTCTAATACAGATTGTGGCTTTCCAGCAGATAGACTTTATTTTTAAAAAAGGCATCAAGAAAGCCATTAAAAGATCTTCCTGAACTGTCGGGTCAGCAGCTTCACTGTGATAGTCAAAATAAAAGTCAGCACAAATTTAAGGGTGGCTGGATAAACAGCTTCATGAGCTTCTGCCAAATCACACACACTGTCCTTTTAGAATAGGAAAAATCCCAAAGACAAAATTCACAGGATGGATTACTGCTATGGCTTCAGGCTGCTTCCCATTCCCATTCAACTCTCCTACAGAGCCTTTTATAAGAGTTAAATGGGGTATTTTAGCTGTCTTGCAGGTTAACATTCCCAAAAACATTTGGCACAAATTCTTTCAGATCTTAATCCTGAAACCAAGACTGATGGATCACAAAGTCACATTTCTTCCTCGGGGAGTCAGGCCATCAGGCACTGAAACCAGGAGCGGAAGATGGAGAGCCCAGCGCTCCCTGCCCTGCCCCGGGCAGCTCTGCATGCAGAATGGCTGCAAGGTTAAAAGGCTGGGGCAATAAGGGGGGCAGTTCTGAGAAACAAGAACTCCTTTTCAGCTGTGTCTTCTGCCTTCGCTGCACCAGGCACAGAGGAGACAACAGGAGAAGCAAGGGACTGTGGTACTCAGGCAAAGCCCCACTTTTATCCAGAGCTCACGTCAGCTTACCCAGGATCCACGCGCTGCCACGGGGTGTCCCAGCAGGAGGCTGTGACTGCAGCAGGTCTGGGAGAGGAGACACTTCTCTTACACAGGCCCAAGAGGGGATCAGGGGGTCTAACAGCATTGCACAGCTCCCTGCGCCAAGGGCCTTAATCCAGGTTCCTACAAAACACAGCATCAGCTACAAGTGACTGCTGCAGAAGAGTCCCAAGAGCAGGCTCTAGGCCCATCCGAGGAGAAAAGTCAAGTGCAGCAGATGAGGGCAGGGAGAAGCTGGGCCCACTGCTCTCAGTGCGCTCCCTGCTTTCCAACAGCAACGGTTTAGTAAGGAGTTTCTGAGGTGGAAAAATTTGCAATACAAAGCCTCAGCCTAGCAAGTTTCTTTTAATTTTTAAATGTACAGCATTTTAGTTCTACAAATGTTAAAAAAATTAAAACCAAAAAAACCTTTACAATGTTTGGGGGTTTTTAGCTTATAATGATCACACCCAACGTGATTCAATGCAATCTGGTCTGCAGTTCCTGTGGCCCGATTGCTTTGGATGATGCAAATAAAATGGCCAAGACATTTAGCTCTGAGACAGCACCTGCAGGAACTGCCCTCTGTGGCAGAAGTTCCCGTGGGCGCTGCACACAGGTGAAGGAACTGCTCCTGCAGGTCACAGGTAAGTCAACACTGACCGTAGCTCACATGGACGAGACACCGACACGTGCCAGCCTGCGGGGCCGGGCCGGGCCGGTGCTGCTGCGGGAGCCAGGCTCCGCTCTGCAGCACTGCCCCAGCACCGTGAGGCACGCCAGGCTGTGGCTCAGCTTACAAGCAAACAAGGAAACAGAGTTAAAGTCTCTACTTCGAGGAAGTCCCATCCACTGGCTGTGCCAGGCTCCTCGTTGAAGCGAACTTTTAAGTGTCACTTTAAAGTCCAGTTTGAGTTCTCATTAACACAGCTGCACTAACACTGTGGCACAAATAACAAACTGTACCCACATTACTTTGCATTTCCGTGCTGTGCCAGGTCTGCACACCCTGCACAGCACAGAACATAGAACATTCTCTATGCACTCGAGAACCACTGGAAGTTACTCCACAGCTCAACACACTGCCCAGACTAGAGCACAAGCATTACAAATCTATAAAAAAGCAGCCCCTGTGGTGGTGTACAGGAATAAACTAACCAAAAAAATTTAGTATTACCATTTATTGGTGACAAACACTACGTTTTACTTACATTCCATGGGGAGAAAAAATTCCAGCGTAAACAATGAACGGAAGCAGTACTGAACTCGCGCGGCTATCGTGCTGTACCTGGACCAATGCAAACCTCAGCGCGCACCGACCGTGCGCAAGAACACAACATCAAAAGCAACACAGTTATATATAAACATAGGTCATTTTTTTCAGCCCTACATGGAGATGTAATTAAACAGTATAAAGCACTCAAGGAAAATCAATCTGCAGTTTTATATGCACTACATTGAGATCATATCCTGTACTGTAGTGAGCTGTGAGCCACCAACACACAGTCCCTAAAACAGCTCAGAGATCACTGAAAGTCACGTTGCATTCGAGTTCCCCTACCCCACACTCAAGAAAACTAGAAATCAACCAAAAATGATCAAACCAAATTTAAAATTCCTAAATTCATTCAACCATTGGATAATTAGGGTGGGCTTGCAAAAATATGGGGCTTTTTAAAATGGTGGGACACAGCCTGTTTCCAGTGAAACGCTGCTATTCCAATAAAACCAAAATAACCGCATACATGGATATGATCTTCCCAAGTTAGTTCACAGGTAACATGTCAGTCTCAGAAGACAAAGTTTCTAAACTGTGCTATGGTTCTAGATACAATTAAGAAACTTTTAAATGAAAAATGTATAGTGTCATTTCAATCAAAACAACATAATGAAACTAAAAATGTATCACTGTTTGAAGAAAAAGCAACAGTTATGATTTAGACACTACAGTAGGTTGTAGAGACTGTAGCACTCCAACAGTTAGGTTACATTGAGAGGAAGCATTTGATTTTCTCTGGTGCTTTCAGGTTTGGGTTCAGTCAAGAGCCTGTTTCAGGCAGTGCTGTCCAGTGTTTGTCCCAAAGGGTTTGCGCTCGCCGGTTTGAGGAGAGGGTCACTTTCCATTTCTTGTTTCACACATCTAAAATGAGAAAACACCTGTTACTTAGGAGACAAAACACTATTTCCACAAATAAGATACTTAAATTGGATACAAATAATTTGATGTGCATTTAACAATTTGTTACCATATAACTGCCCCAATTTTTAATCAGTTAGCACTTTGGTAATCCCACCACTGTTAATTTGAGAGCTTATTATCTCAATTAGAGGCTCAACTTTCTCCCAAACCGAGCCAAGAGAATAATTTGCACTTCTCCATGCTTCTGCTGAAAATGAGCTTCAACTTCAACCCCTGCATGTCCCTTTACCTGTGACACACAAGACTGCAAGAGAGAGAGAGGAGCACGTGGAACCCCAAGGCCACTGCAGAGTCACACTCCTTAGAGAGAAATGGGGCAGCTGAGCTGAGGGAGGCCAGAACTGCTGGGGCCCAGAGCTGTCCCACTGGGCTGGGGTCACACCACAGGCAGCACACTTCACCCACTCACTCCTGCTCAGTGCTTTGCCTTGGACACATGGAAGTGACAGGCTTGGCCACCCAACCCTGCCTCTGGTGCTGCTGGAGGGCAAGCAGCCCTTGGCATTTCAACCCTTCTGGCAAATCAAACCCCTCACATGTTATTTGTCTAAAAACTCTCACAGGGCTAATTTCCATCAGTGCAAGGGAAGTTGGTGGGAAACACTCACACAGACATTGGTCCATTTCCTGTCCTTGGCATCTCTGTGGTTTGTTGGTCCAACTCAGACAGCAACTTTAAAATATTCAATGCAGCCTAAAGAGAAGAGAGAGCACTCAGCAATTCAGCCTCTGGACAGTTCAGTAATTTAGTGAAGCACTCAACCCAAACAAATGTTCTTATTTTGGCGATATTTTTCAAGAAGTTTTTTCAGTTCCATAGTTATGGTGGAAAATGCAAAGGTGTAGAGTTTTATCTTGCTTCATTAAACAATTGGATGGTGCTATGACTGGGGATTCCCACTGCACTTGTTTCAGTGCTGGGGGAAAACTAACACACCAGGACTAGAAACAGCAAGAAGAGACACTAAATTAGTAACAGCTCAAACTGTGCAGAGCTTAAGACAAAGGAGAGAAAATTACACAGAACCAGTGTCCTTTTCCACCTCAGCCCAAGTATGGTTCCCAGTGAATCATCAGCCCATTCTGATATAATAAGGAAATAAGCTGAGATGCTGTTAGGTTTATACTTTCCTTTTTGTGCATTTACTGTCATGGGCTCATGCAAATACCATCAACACGAAGCATTTTGCTTTTTGTAGACCAAAACTGTGATAAAATGTTTAGTGTATTAGGCATTATTTAGACTGCATTCTGATATTATTAATCATTACTTCTGCAGCCTGTGAAATATTAGACAAAATTAGCCAGGCAACTGTAGAACACCTAATTGCTCCCAGCAGTGATATAAAACCTTGGTCTCCCCTCGGGGAAGGCCAAGAGCAGCACTTCAGCAGGGTTCCTCATACCATGTCGTGGCAAGACTCCACATCCTTTCCAATCCCATGACTGATCAGCGGTGGCTGAGAGGAACAGTTTATAAGAGATACAAACTCGTTCTTGTTATTTTTTGGAAAGTCCTTATATTCAACCTGAAGAAAAGAGAAGGATTTATTTCTTTTCAGTTAACCGAGTACCGGGAGTATATCACAACTGCTACAGATTATCTGCCCACATATGACACTGAACCTTTCTTCTCATCATTCTCTCAGCCAGCAGAACCCCTCTATTTGAAGTTTAATCTCACTTACAATGTTTTTTAGTACTCACAAGAGCTTGGCAAGGCTCCTGAATTGCAAGTGGCTACGTAATGATGATTGTTACTGGAACCTTTATTCTGATCACTGCTAGCTGCATTTCAAATTTCTGTATTATGCTTTTTGATCCACTGAGCTCATCTGTCATACGAATATAGGAACTTAATGCAATTCCCATTAAAGGGAGCAAATGTGAGAAAACACAGAGCTTACAGCACGTGCTAATGTATGACAGATTAGTGAAAAAACCTGATTTCACATCAGCCTAGTTCAAGTCCACAAGGTCTTCTTACATTGGGACAACTTATAGAAAATGCTTTTTTAATTTTGTTCTTCCAAGTTCTCAGAATAGCACTGAACTGGGGCTGAGAATGGTACAGAAATACACACTTGAAAATTAAATTTAAAAATATGTAAAATTTGGTACGAGTCATGGGTAAAGCAAAACTGTTACATGAATTTCAGCAGGCTCAGAACTCATCTCTCCCCAAGAGAATTTAAAAGCTTTGAACAAACAGAAGGCTGGACTTGGATAGCTCTGGAAGAAGTCCCGTGAAGTGGAACACCTGCCTGGATTCCTTGGACGTTGGAAAGATAGTCCAGCTGCTCGGAGGGCCTGGTCAGGGGCCCGTGGGGGAAGTGGCCTGAGGAGCTGCTGCTCTTCAGGATGGTCTCGGCGGTGGGAGAGGTGCCCCCGTAGAGCAGCTCCCGGGCGATCATGGCCGTCACCGTGGCCTTGGCGGGGTTGGGAGCTGCCCGACTGAACTCTTTGGTGTGGTGTCCTTGATTGGCTCCTACAGCCTGTGCAACCTCAGGGACCATGGGAAGAATTCCAGCAGGAAGCTGCTGATGGCTGAGATAAGGCATCCTAAACTCATCTTCTTTATTACCTGGGAGGAGAGAGGTGCACACTGAAGAGCTGCTGTTTGAGAGTCCTCCTGCAGGCACACACAGGCACCAAAAGTCACTTGGGAAAAAAATAATTCATTTCAAATTACTTTTGACATGCTAACTGACTTGGTAAGCTCAATCAGCCTTTGGAGGGTCAGAACTTCAGCATCACCAAGACAGAGTTTTCTTACTGAATTACTGACTCAGTGCAACAGCTGCTTCTGCCAAAGGGAGCACCTTCACCTCCAGGAGGAGTTTCTCCAGGCCAGTCAAGCTCACAGACACCTCAGCTGCAACCATATTCTAGATCTATCTTTTCCTTTCGGAATTTTTCATTCCATCATTTAAACTGTAGGAGCAAATAACGAAACCACGGAATGGCCAGTGCCACCACTAAATGATGTAAAGAAAGTGACAGTCCACAAAGTTTAAACTGTAATTGTGAGAACAAGCAGGAAGGAAAGGTAAAATGGAACATCAGCACAAAGAGGCAAGACTATTTACAGCAAATGTCCAGCCACAGTCAAATGACAGCAATTTGCTGACATTATGGTATAAGTGGAAGAGGGATAAGAACAGCTTTTTAAGGGAACTCAGATCTATGGATGAAACAGGCACAGGTGTGCTCAAGAAAGGTGGGGAAGATAGTGCCACCAAAATAAACCAAGGAGTCATTTTTATGGCAGAACAGATTAATGAAGTTCTGCAGGACTGAGCTGTTTCAAGTCTAAGGATGAAAGCCACAATTTGTAAATGGAAGAAAACAGGGATAGCAAAATCTGAATCAGGAAGTTTAGCTAAGGTCCTATGGATGCAGTAAAACAGTACTAAAGCTCAAGTAAATTCCAACTTACTATAATTTAAATAGCAAAGTTATACTTAAACACGTAAAGTACCTGAAATATGCTCCCCAGAACAGCAATCTGTGGTGACAGACAAACTTTCCATAATGATTCCTCCCACCAGATGACATCCCAGAAAGCAATGTCTGTGTACAGGGTGGCCAGGTTCGAGGTGTTCTGGCTCCAGCCTGCCACCCTGGGTGTGACCACCACAACCATTCACTGCCTGAAACAAGGGCAGGCACAGCTCCTGCTCTCAGTCATCAGAGACCAGGCACAGCCTGAGGTGCTCTGGGCAAGGCCCTTCCCTCCCTCTCCAACTCTGCCTGAGGCTGACCAGTTAGTACTGACACCCTTTCTCCTCCTCAGGAAGAGGGCCTTGGGAGGAATAAGCTCTTTGGGGTTTGAACCAAACCTTTCCAAGGGCTGCACTTGGTCTGCAAGGCAGCAGCTGCACAGCTCTGCTCATCCCAGAGTGCTAGATGGCACTGCTGAAGGGACCTGCCACCCCCAACAGGGCCCTGCTGCTTCCACCACGTTACTCACTGGCTGAAGTCTCTTCAGAGCCCGGCTCAAAGAAGGTTACTTTTCTTCCATCACCTGGTTTCTTCACTGGGGTCTTAAAAATAAAAGGAAAAGAACTCAAACACACAACATCTCTTCAAAACTTTTTTCCCCCCAAATGTTAAAGTTTTCAAGATGCAAGTGATCTGACCAGCCAAATTTTTACTGAAAAAGTTATTATTCAAAACCATCAATAACTACATTGCTATCAAAAAAAAGAGAAGTTCAGTGATTCTTATTCACTGAAGGCCTAAAACTACCACATCTCAGAGAACTGGTGTTAGGAACAGAGCTACTCAGAAGCAGATACCAGAATAAAGCCAGTTTAACTGCCATTAGTCACTGGTGCTGTGAGGAGAGCACACCAGACACCAATGAGCACGTGTGGAAAGGAGAAAACCAACCCTGGGATGGCTGTCTGAACCCCCTGGCTGCAGCTGCTGATTCACCAGCAGAACACAGGAGGCTCCTTCCCTAAGGGACCCACCAGAGAGACCTGTAACAAAGGTCTCACTGCAACTGTGGCAAGGCTGTGTAAAACTATTGCTAGCAGAGGACTATAACCTACAGGTCTGCAAGTTTCTAAGACCAACTCATTGATTATCACAGGTTCTGAGACGTTTCATAAAGCATGAATACATAAATTTATGCTTCTGATGAGACTTTGATTTACCTGAAAACCCAAACACTTAATGTATCCAAAACACTGGATATTTAACATTTTTTCAAAGAGCAGTCCCCTCAATACAATTGTTTCCTGGCTGGGGCAGAGGGAATGAACTTCCTACCCTGTCACTGCCTTGCAAAGCTGCTTCTGTTCAGCTCAGCCTTTGCTGCAGCATTAACCAGCTGCTGCTTCCTCCAGACTCACCTTCTCTTCCGTCTTTAATGCTGGTTTTGGAGGCTGAGGTTGAGGGACTTTGAAACCTAAAATTTCCAACATATTTTCCGCTGCATTGCGTTTAGCAACCTTTTTGTTCGTGCCCATTCCTTCAGCTGTGTGTACACCAACTTTCACCTGGACAGAAGAGGAAGAAAACTCAGTCCTTAAGCAGCAGTATGGGGACTCCCTTATTAGTGAGCTGTGTCTTCAGCATGCCATGAGTCACAAAACAGTTCAAGTGATCATTGTTCTGAGCAAGTTGCCATTTATTATCAATAATCATTGGCCTTCAAGCCACCTCCAGCTGAGTGCCATGGTCACAGCCACAGCCCCAGCTGTGTGCCATGGTCACAGCCCCAGCTGTGTGCCATGGTCACAGCCACAGCCCCAGCTGTGTGCCATGGTCACAGCCCCAGCTGTGTGCCATGGTCACCAGGACAGCCCCAGCTGTGTGCCATGGTCACAGCCACAGCCCCAGCTGTGTGCCATGGTCACAGCCCCAGCTGTGTGCCATCACAGCCACAGCCCCAGCTGTGTGCCATGGTCACAGCCACAGCCCCAGCTGTGTGCCATGGTCACAGCCACAGCCCCAGCTGTGTGCCATGGTCACAGCCACACCTCCAGCTGTGTGCCATGGTCACAGTCACAGCCCCAGCTGTGTGCCATGGTCACAGCCCCAGCTGTGTGCCATGGTCACAACCCCAGCTCGGTGCCATCACAGCCCCAGCTCGGTGCCATCACACCCACCTGCATGACGAACTCCCTGCGCCTGGGCAGCCCACGTTCTGTGATGAGCATGTACTCGGGCTCCTTCTCCTTCTTGGCCTGCTGTATCTGGGCAAGTCTGCTAATGGGATTCATTCCTTGACCGTATTCTGGACTTGTTTGCAGCTACACAGAACAGTGTTCAGAAAATAAGCCAAACTTTACAAATATTTGGTTTAATAGACAGAACGCAGCATGCCACTGAATTAACCTCTAGATTTTAAAAATACTGAAATAAAGGTTGCTTAATGAAACACTGTCACAGCCAAAGAGAAATACTGAATTTATCTGACTCCACTGTCACACTTGACCACATGTAACCTACCCTGCTAATAGCTTTACAAACCCTAATCCTGCTGTATTAGGAGGGACAAGCTTGCAGGAGAATTTGTACAAGCAAAACCCAAAGCTGTAAAGTCTGAGGCTTGAAAGTCAGAGCTTGATTTTTCTGTGCTGCTCTTTCCTTTATAAGGTTTCTCTTTCATCTTGTATTTACTGGTAACTGCTATAAAAGTGGTGTCAGAACCCCATTAGAGTGGGAGCCAAAGACCAGCTCATTTGTTGCACCAGAGGGCTGGTAAAGGCTGAGCAGCTGAAGAGTGTTCATAACTGACCCAGAAAAGCCTCTCTGATGATTATTTGCACAGTCAGATTTCCAATCTTTTCCCCCTTACCTTCACTATTGATTTTGTTTTCTTTTTGATTCGTGGCTTCATTTTCTCAACTGTAGGAAGGGGTGGCAATTTTTTCAGTTCTTCTAGGACTGCTATTGCAGCATTTTTCTTTGAGATCTTCTTGCTCTTTCCTTCACCTTCACCCATGAATTCTCCAACTGATACCTTGGTTACAAAACTCTTCATATGGGGAGGACCACTTTCCTTGGTCACCTGTTTCAGAGGGAAAAACTGAGTGAAAGCGTGATAAACACTTATTAAAAATGGCAGGGCACATTGTTTATAGCAAACTTCTCTCAAGAACTAAGGATAAAGAGATTTTACATTCTCATACAATCCAAAAAGTGAAACATACTCACTCTAATAACATATTCCCACCCAAATAAGCATACATTTTTAGAAGATCGGATGCACCAAGCAGTAAACAGTATTTACAGAAGTCATTAACCCATCTTATTTAATTTACTGATTTACTGCTTCAGTACAAAAATAGGACTGTTCTATTTCACCAGTGTGTACTTCCCCACAGTTAACAGCACCTCATTGAATATATCACAGTACAGCAATAAAACATTACAGAGGAAGCAACTCTTTGGGATCTAGCATTTTAGTCCAGAAATTCTGAGTTCTGAACTCTGAAGTTCGGAAGAATTCTGAAGACATCTAAGAGACAGCTGCCCGCTACAGATTTAGGCTTTTAACTCCATTCATAACACATCACACTCCAAAATATCCATAAAGTCAAAAAGTAAGAATGAATTTTAAGAGCTTCCACCCACAATTGGCTTTGTGTGACAGTGTATTTTTACCAGTGATGCTCAGGCTAATCTGCAATAATTGAAAGTTTCGTGTAAAATTTCATAGAACAGTTTCAGAAGCAATTTAGTTACACACAATTGCATTTTCTTACTACAATAATTCAGATGGTTGGCTTAAATATTACTCTGCCAGCTCAGAAAAGCAGCATGATAAATTAATATTTTAGTGAAAAAGAGACACTCCTGTGGAAGCTCCTGATTTCAGACAACTGAAATGATCAAGAGGGGCAAAGAGGCAGCAAGCAGCCAGGCCAAAGGGAAAGGAAAGTCAGATGCACATGAGGTCACCTCATGGCAAGAAAGGAAACCTACTCGTGAGGTTCTGCACTCAGGGGTAGTCCAGATCAGTGCTTAATTAAGCAAATACTTCCATATGTGTCTTTCAGAGTGAGCTCTACTCTTTTGCCTCGACTCTGCACTCCCATGTTCTAATCATTAATGCAGGGTCGTGTTTTGGTTCTTCACTGTAATAAGCTTTCCTCAAAAAGCTCAGAAAAAAAGATTGCACAGACAACCACAGCATAGCTGTTCACTCCATGTGATCATTTCAGGGCATGAATTTGTGAACAGGTGGATTTTTCTTTTTTCTTCCCTTTACCACAAAAACTCCAAGACAATCAAGGTGACTGTCAAAGGTTAAAGTGTATTCACAACTAACGAGACACGTTAAAAGTCAGTTGTTTAGGTTACCTAAAAGAGACTCAACTTAATGTGTACCCTTAATAGTCTAATAAAAACAAATCTAGAGCTTGTAAAGTAAACATACCTCAAAATTCACAGGCAAGTTCCTTTTAAGTGCAATCTCAAAAACTTGGCTTATTTCAGATTTATTGAGATTTTCATCATCTGGTTCTTTTCCGTTAACCTAAAAGAAGCATACTCTATTTAAAATAAAGATCCTATTAAATTGAATTTTATCCATTCAACCACTTTACTGAACTCTCCAAATTTTAAATATTCTAACCTTTACTGCCATGTTACATAAACATGAGAAAAGCAGCCCATATACTACAGAACTGAATCTTAAAAAGCTCATTAAGGTGTATGTATAAAAGCTTTCAAACCTTCATATTTTCATGTGCTCATTACAAGAAAGAACAAATGGAATAAGGGCCAATAGGTTTAAAAATGTGTTTATAGAAAATGAAATTGAAGTGCTAAGTGCACCGATTTCCAAATGGAAGTACCTTTATGAAATACAATTTTCATATACTGATTGGACATTTGCACCAAAAGCACTAAGACAGGATCAAGTAAGAGAAAGGGCAGGAAAAACAAAGATTCTGAGAGTGGGACCAATGTGAATGAGGGGTGGCTGATGAGCCCCTGGCACAGTCGTGTCTTTTCACATGCTCCATGTAAGTGCTTCGTCTGCAGCTTTGCTTTCTCATGTCAAGAACAGCCTATCAGGAGCTTGCCCTAAACCAAACATTGACCATCTCTGAGAACTCAGACCTGCTGGGACAACACTGCCAGTGAAGCTTTCCCACAGGCATGTATCTCCGGGTGAAACTTTGACTGGGATTCCAGAAGTGTCACTGATGCTGGCACCAACATGAGCTAAGGCATGTCGACAGCAACAGAGAAATTTCAGGTGTCCAGCAGTGACATTGGAAAGATTATGATAAAGATGAACAGCAACAATATCACCGATTATATCATGCCACAATACTAGCTATGCAAAGAGGTAATAAAAATGATTTAAGTATCTTATTGGAGCAGCAGCAGGGGAGCTGAGCTAGAGCTTTCATGGATTAAAACTTGCTGGATGGCAGCGAGCATCCCCCATGGCTGCTACTAACAGGTTCGTTTAAAACACAAAGGATTTTTTTATCCCACCAGTTAAGACAGGCTTTTCCCACCTTACAAAAAAAACAGTTAACTAAATTAATCTCAAGTTTTCACTCCTCCCACTGTCCCATGAGACTTCACACTGTTCTCCTGGGCTGCCCCTGTCCATCAGGCTGGAGTCTGGGCCCAGCCCTGGTGCCATGGCAGGGCAGGGCAGTGCCAGCCCTGGGGCCATGGCAGGGCAGGGCTGTCCCAGAGCCCTGCTCCCCTCCAGAGCCAGCACAGCCCCCAAAGTTCTCCACCATCGCCTGCCAAACCCCAGTGCCAGCTCCAAAGGACCTGCAGCACATTCCCAGGAGGAACACTGGAACTCCTAAGGCCACGTGCACTCCAGCACTGCCAGGCAGGGTCTGTCCCTGCCCTCACTCACCAACACTGCCACAACTTCAATTACAAGCACTTTTCCTCTCCTTGTAGTATCAGTGTTCTAGTGTTTCAAATTCTTACATTTTTCTTTGTGAAGATGACTATGACTTGTCTTTATTGGAATAAATTTTCCCACTTAATATCCTCTCAAGAGAATACAAACAAATAGAATGTAATTATCTGCTCTATTGCAGTGTATGTTCTTAATACATTCCAAGTCTGTGTGCACAGTGCAAAATGAAGGTTCTTTTCTTTAATACATTTATCTAAAAAGAGTGAATTATTAGCAAAATAATCCTTAACAGTCTACAACTATTTTACTGATTATTTTGACTCTACTTGAGTTCTGGATCAGTTTACTTTATAAATAAAAAATAATCATACACACACTCTCCCCCTTTCCCTGCACACTTCAAGGCAGATGATGCCTAAAGTTTGCTTTTGAGGTATTTTGCATGTTTGCATTGACCAAACTCTCCAAGAATTATGTGCCTCTAAATCTCAGTGAGAGCCCAAAGCATTTACCATTCTTAGCTCTGATCACATTGTTCAAGCAAATTCCACAAGTCCTGTACTCCGTTACGAGGGACTTGCCCTCTTCCAGGGGCTCCTTCCAGTTCCTTCCCTCCCTCAAGACTCATGAGCAAGTGCTGGACAGGGAGGAGTGCTGCCCAGCACTGCAGTGCCTACCCACAGCCAGGCCTGAGCCTGTCCTTCCACATCAAGGGCATGAAGAGCAGCTGCTATTTACCAAGTGAGCTGGCAACAAACACAGAAGTAAATTTTGAGACAAAATTACAATTCCTGCCTGAGCATAGTGCTAGGAAGCCCAGCTGTCCATGTTTCCTAAGCTTTAAGTCAATGTTTTATCACCTCTCTTTGAATATGCCAAAAACTCATCCTGTTCCTTGCCCAGCACATCCAAGCCCAGCCACACTGAAGGTCCTGTGAGCTCTCCCAGCACAGCCCCCTCTCAAAGCTCTAACACCCAGCTCAGCTCTGCAGGCAGGGCTTGGTCCAGCCAAGAGCCAGTATTATTACATGCTTTTTCCTGCCACTTGCTCCTAGACTTGCAGCCTGAAAAGCTGTGGGAAATGGTCATTCTTTCCCTTAAAGTCTAATAATTTTACTCAATGATTTCTTCTTAGACTCACAGAATCATTTAGGTTGGAGAAGATCTTTAAGATCATTGCACCCAACTGCTATTATGCACTGAATATTTTCTAATTTAAAAATACAAAAGTAAAATTCCATAAAAACAAAAACTTGTAAAAAATCCCCCCAAATAATAAAAAAATGTACAAAATTACTCCCCCTTAAGACACGTGAGTTCAAACATCAAACATTCTGACACAGAACAATATTCCAGAATCTGGGGTTCCCAGAACTGAAGGGGAACATCCTCCTCTGCTCTGGCCTCTCCTGCATGACAACCAGCTGGCCCCTGCCCACACTGTGCCAGCCACCAGCTCAGATTTCAGGGCAGGCTCAGTCCAAGTCCCAGCATCACACTCTTTTCCCAGCAGCTTCTGTAATCCCTTGGAGCCTCCATCTTTCAGTCTGCATTCCTCCAGGAGAGCTTTCCCCTCCCTAAATCACCCACCTCCACCAGTGCCTCCCCAGCCTCTGCCCTGAACTGTCAGACCCAGTGCTCTTGCCCAATCACCTGGGCAATGCCCACTCCCAGATTCAACTCCGTGCCCCTTGGCTTCATGCTTCCTCAAGCCTCTTGCTCTGCCATTCCTGGTAGTTCCCAGCCATTTTTTTTTCTCAGTCTGAGACCCCTTGTTACCTTCTTGTCCAATTCTTCATTTTCCTTCATTTCTCTCAGCACACAGCCAGACTCCGTATCCCAAATCCCCGGACTGAAGTTACAGTTCTGTCTTTGCCCAAAGCAGCCAACAGACATGAAGGGCTGCAGGCTCCCAGCCAGCCCAGCAGCAAAGCAACTCCTGTGCTCACAGTGAGACCTTCTGCCTCAAGCCACTCAACAAAAAAGCATGAAAAACACAATAATGGTATTGGAATGGAAAGTGCTGGGCAGCCATAAATATATGAAGGGATAAAAATTGACTTCTTATATTCCTATCAAAACGTGTGTTTGAGTCTACTATTCCCATGCATTTCCTGCTCTTCTAGAACTTCCATGGTGCTTTCCAAAATCATGTAGGAATTTGTCCTAGGAAGTAAATTCATGCCTGAGTTTTATGTTGCCCCTTTATGCACTTCTCCAGAAGTTTGTGTATGATCTGTACCTGGTAAGATATTAATTCCTATCTATGCTTCCAGTGCTCCTATCTGACAGAGGTGTACAGCATTGCTGTGGAAAAACATGACAGTAAAAAAATTAACATAACTTCATCTGGGAAAATTCTAGTTCCACAGAAATTTATGCTTTTACATCAAATTGTTTCTATTGACACAAGTAAGTCACCACTGCTACACAGAATCAGATTTCCCAACTGTCTCCTCAACTCTCAACAAGGAAAAAATCTACAATAATATCCCAGTTTATTCTAGCAATTTATGCTTACAACACTTAAGATTAATTCCCACCTCTGGTTTCTCAGGCAAGGGCTCATTCTGCAGAACTTTCAGAGCTTTAGCAGCTGCATCATGCTTAGCAGCTTGTCTTGTTCTTCCCTTCCCATGAAACTGCTGCCCTCCAATTGAAAGCTCCACTTGATAAAGTAAAGGCCCAACAGGAAATGGGTAAAAGTACCTGCAAAGAGAGAGGGGAATAAGCAAATTATTTGGCCTGCAAAGGAAACAGACACCTAAGTCAGATGTGGGTCAATCTCTTGGATATCAGTAACCACAACAGCACTGAAGCACTAGTTTTAAAAAGCCAAATTTTGATTTAGAGCCTAAAAGAATTTAGTGAGGTACCTTTGAAACAAATATTGACATTCCTTGCTTTACCACAGGAACACATTTCTGACCAAGTACTACACCAAGGCAACATAACCGCACTTGTACGGACTTGGCAAGCCAGGGAGTTTTGAATTTTAATTTCCTATGCCTACAAAAAATTCTTTAAACTGCAATTTTAATTTAAATAGTCTCAGAAGCAGCATCAACCTGTTTTCTCCACTTTTGCTTTTACACAGAAAGGAAATGCAAGAAATATTTACCAAATATTTAGCTATATATTTAGCTATTTGCTTAACGAAGCTGGCTATACCTGAATACTCTCAAAAACACTTCACCTCTCAGTCCAGCTGCCTTGCCCCACCCCAAAGCAATGAAGCACTGGAAATAAGGCAAGTTACAGATACTGGGGGGCGGACTCCTCCCTAGCTGCTGCCTCCCGAGGCGAGTGCCCCTGCAGGGGGACGCGGGCGGCTCCAGCGGGGTGCAGAGGGGGAGCCTGCACCCCGAGCCAACACCTACCGTGGGGGGTAGGTGCCACCTCGCATGGTGTAGCTGTAGGTGGATCTCATCCCTGTGTAAGGGTCGATGGGTTTGTACATGGGCTTCTTCCCCAGCTTCATGCAAAGTGCATTCAACTCCACTGTGGGGGTTACACTGTCTACAGAAAAAGGAACAGAAAGGGTTGTTCAGCTGTCACAAGGAACTGAGACAATTTAAACTCTTATTGCTGGCTCACAGCAGGGAAAAATGAGCTCAACTTCTGCCACATGCAGCATCTTAAATGACTGAATTCCAAACAGAACTGCTAATGAACAAAAAGAGAATAAGTCTATATGATGCACACTAAAGCGTCCCAGTACAGCTGTGACAAATCCTGTTACAAAAAAAGTGAATTTGCTGGGAGCTCTTATTGGATTTGTTTTGGAGGGTTTCATCATTTTGCTTTTAATTTCTGAAGCTGCTAATTTACCTACATTTACAGTGTATCTAACAAAGTGCAGAAGAAGAATTTTCTGCAGTGAAAAAATTTCTCCAAATATACTTTTAAGTTACCAGACTTAATGCTGCATCCCTTCTGAGTCTCTTGCTTACTGAGAACGATCAAAGGTTTCTCTGTCCTCAACGACCTAGAAGGGTTTCTATGACTCTTCACTTTCAAATTGCAACTGGCCTTGTCAAAAGGCAGGTAAATTGCTGCTGAGGGCTAAAACATTTCTCTCAGTGCTGGTGTTGTGGGCATGAAGAACTGGCTCCCAGTCTGTTCTGACTGGACAAAGAACACTCAGTAAGTGTCATTTTTTCTACCATAGGTCTCACTGGCTCAGAAATCAGCTGTAATCCAGTACAAGAGGTCTGGTGTAAGGCAATTGCCAAAACAAAATGACCTATGGAACAGATGCACAAAGTAAGTACTTGCTAGCTGACAACTGCTACTGCCAAACAGGCGCAATCACAGTTTTTATTCATTCTTATACAACTTCAATACATACCAAAAGCAGAAAGGTGTATTCTCTGTATGTATGATTATTTGAAATCAGTTTGTTGTGGGATGTACCTGGATTCTTGCCTTCACTGCGAGATGGACGAGCCGTAGGTTTAGGGAATTTTGTCCCTTCCAAAGCTTTGGCAGCTGCTGCATGTTGCGCTTTTTTAATACTAGTTCCTTCAGCTTCCCAGTGCTGGTCCCCAAGAGTCAGCTGCACTGTAAACACCTCAAAACCACAAACAGGTATTTTGTTAAAAGCTTCTCCAGAATTTATGTAGTTTATCAGACCCTCTTACACAAAATGAGTCTTTCAGTGATGCACAAGTTGAGAATTCAGTAATCCAAGCTCTCCTTAACTCCCAGGTCATCTCCAGATTTCCATCACTTTGGACATCAACAGGATTTTCCTAATTACTGAACTAAGAATTTCACAACAATTGTAGCTGGCAAATATCCTGCATGAGACCTGACAGGTTAAAAACTCAGAGCAGCGTGGGGAGAGGTGACAGCCCCAGGAGAGCTGCTGTGCCCATGTCACTGAGCAGCAGACTGGAAACTCGCCCTTCTCTGTGACACATAACTCCACTCTTGCTTTAATCCTCTAAAAGGTTTATTAAAGATATTTTTCAGCAGTTTGAAAAAGTTAAGTTCACAATGTACCATCTGTGGGCTTCTACATGCCCACAGATCAATGAAACACAATTGAACAGATGTTCTGAATGCTATTCCAATACTTTTTGTAAATGTTAACTCCTTCACACCTTGAAGCTCATGTGACATTTTTGGAACTCAACTTTTTACTTCCCAGGTACCAGCCTCACACTTCCCCACCACCGAGGCTGTGGGGGGCTTCCCTTTCCATTACTCTGGATTATTTTGCACCAAAATCACACACATTGTGATTTCTTCCCACTCCTGAAGGTGCAGGAGAGGAGCAGCAGCAGTAAGAAACTGGGATGCACACTTACCTTAGAATGAGCTGGACCCTGCTCACTCAGAAGCTTATACTCAGGCTGAATCTTGTTGAAACGGGCTAATTCATTCACAAGACACATGGGGGTTTTCTCTTTGGGGTTTGCCATGTTTGAAGGAGCTGAAAGGTTACATAAGATCCAATAAATGAACTGGTAACTGTGAACTTTACTATCAATTTTAATTAGAAAAAGAAATCTCAGTGGCTTAGCATCTAGCTGTCTGCAGCGCTGGAACAGACAGCTTTGCTCACTGGCCAAACTGGTAACAATCTATTGAACTTTGGGTTTTCCAAGCAATGCTCATGCCTAAAAAGCACCATCATTAAATTCAAGGTTCTAATGCAAGCCAGAAGTATGAAGTTAGAAGACTCCTGCAAACAGCTCACATCTCATCTAGTACATGTCAAGGAACAAATCTCCCAAGTATTCCTCATTATTGTTGCTTTGAATAATTTCAAAAACTCAGTTAATTTCATTTCCCTTCTCCTATTTTTCCCCTATTAGCTATTTTTTATCACCCTTTATTTTTTCAGTTGCATTTTGATAGTATAATATATTTATCATTAAACTGGTCATAAAAGAACTAAAGATAACAGAACTAAACAAACTATTTCAAACAACACTTTTTCATACTTAAAACAAGCTACCGGTAGAAAAGATTGATAGTAATGTTTCAAAAATTTAATGCAATACAATTAAAAATGTTCTTTACTATTACAAACATATCAATTAATTGCTGGAACTTTATGTAAAAGTATGCTTCCACCTCTCTCCAACAGATTTCATTCCATAGGGAGCTACTGCAGTTGGATAAATATTACTTTCAAATTACATGTAGGTGCAAGACATCAGCAATATATCATGCCAAACGATAAGCATTAAAATTACTGACCCTCTATCTTACCTGCAGCTGCATTGGTGGATGTAACTGAAGCAGAGGGCAAAGCAGAGTTCTGGATAGGTCTGCCTGCATTTTCAGAGGGCAAAGAACTGGTAGTAGAAGGAATACTCAAAGGCTGTGAAAGAGATGGGTTTTTATTCAGTATTTGGCTCCCCGCAAGGGCAGCAGAAGGATTCTGAATCTGAACTTGAGACATGTTCACTTCCAACCAGAGCAGATTACTGCAGGCAAACAGCTTTGAACGCAGACCAACTCCACTTTTGGAAGCCGAATTGCTGACCTAAAATGTGAAGATGAAAAATAGATTATACTGAATATTTAGCACTGAAACAATTCCTCCAGCGGCGCAGAGGGCAGCAGCGCTCAGCCCAGCACCACGGTTCCTGTTCTGTCCAGTCCCTCACACACCCAGCGTGCACAGCAGCTCCACGCACGCCCACCGTGTTTCACACTTCTTTCATTCTCAGAAGAGTAGTACAGAAGCTTTATTTATGCTCATTCATTACTGCCCATCTCTTTTCCCCACGACTGAATCCACTTAGGAAGCAAATCCTGTTACTTACACCCAGAGCCACTGGTTACACACTGAACAAAGAGCGACTTCCACGGACAAATTACATGTCATGCATTCTACCATTTGAAATTAAACTTTTTCACTTAGAGGGCAAGAAATAAATACAGTCTTTACAAAAAAACTATTTCGAGAATACATCCTTTATTATTATCATAGAGTTTTCCCCAGGATCATCAAGAATGCCAAGCTGCTTATGAGGGGAAAGAGCAGGAAATGCTGAAGTGGCTCTGGCTGGGAAAAGCAAAGGTGAAAGAGTTCATGAACTGTATCAGCTACATGTATTCTGAAGGTTACTTTGATTTAGGTCAGGGCATGTCTCAGGCACAGCCCAAGCACCAATTCAGAGTCACTTGGCCCTGCAGCTCTGCAAAGGAGTGTAGGAAGTGCTCGTGGCACCTGTGGCCGTTTTACACCCCGGGAGTGCAGGACGTGCCCGTGCGCGGTGCAGTCACACATCTTCCTGGGCTGACAAATTAGCATTAGATTTCTCTTACACATGGATGCAAAATTATCTCCATGTTCAGCCAGTGGAACCTAAATAGACACAAACACGTCAGCTGTCCATATCCACTTACAAGCCACATATCAATTTATTTATTAAAAATACATTTTACAGCCAAGTAAATCCATTTTACACACCAAGGCACTCACACGTGCACACACACACCAGTCACCTACAGGTCTGATCAGGGCAGCAAACAAAGGTTTATTCTTTCCTAACTCATAGGTGAAAAGGAGAAATCACTGCTCAGCTACCAGCAGAGGGCAATTAGCAGCAACACAACCCCACTAGTGCTCTGTGAGCTTCACATTCTGAACCTGTGAATGGATTTCCAAATGTGAGAGGAGCAGCAATGAGTCAGAGGGAACCTTTTAGCTAGTTACTGACAAAACAAGCCAAAGAGGAGAACCAAGATTAATACATTCATGGACAGAGAGATTTCATTATCTATTAAATAAGAGGTAAGAAACTCCTGGGAAACAACAGATACATCACCAAATTTACCATCTGGAGTCTTTTTACTCCAGAAAAAAAAAATCATAAACATGCCAGACTTATCATGCTACCCACCTGGATAACTTTGTTTTTACTAGAGAGCAAAAATAGTTCAGGTCTCATTAGTCCAGGAGACCCATGCAGATTGTACTCAAAACAAATCCTACATTTGACTACTGAATTTGCAGCAGTGACACACGGGGTGCGTTGTAACTCTGAGAGTGGCATTCGAGAATCTCTCCAAAGGACATTAAGAAATTGGAAGACAAAGAAGAAAAGTATTTAGAATAAGACTCCAGGGTAAAAACTTTACAATCACTAAGTTTTTTTTCCCAAGAACATCACTAGAATCACTGAAAATTTTCAGATATAACACAACAACAGTAATTGCCTGACAAAGACTACACCAAAGTCTTGCAGATGAAGAAATGCAATGAAATCTTGCAAGCAGAAAAGCAAACATTCCTTTCCTGCTGAAGTGCAATGTCTTTCTAAGGAACTGAAGTTACAGTTTTCAGTCACCCGTTTTAAGAGGACAACACCAAAAGTTGTTATTTTGATGAAAAAAAGATGTTATTTTTGATTTTATTTTTGTTATTGTGATGTCAGAAACATCAGGATGCTTGAGATCATGCTGGAAAGGAAGCTTGATATTGCTGAAGCTTGATCGTGAGACTTGTATGACCCTTCCATTACCACTGACAAACTGCTCAACACAGCTGCTTTTCCAAGCAGAATTTCCAGCCTGCTCCAAGAATCTTCCTTGCTCTTTCCCCAACCCCAAGTGATGTTTCTCACCCAAGCAGTGGAATCTCACAATAGTGCTCTTTGCAGAATTACAAGGATCACTTGCCAATTTTCCTTCTGTAGTGAGGTTTCCAGTTCTTCCCTAGTGAAGCTCTTCTTCCTAAGAGCTCTAGAGATCAGCTCCCAAAATTAGACTCAGACCTTCATTCACAAAGCCAAACCAAAACCAAGCCACAAACTGAGAAACTCTGGTAGTTATTAAAATTATATAAATTCTACCTTTTGGCTACATTTCCAATCTAGTGATTTCACTCACAAATAGGCTAAAACCATTTCAGTGCTGCATATGAAACCTGTCACTGCACGGACTGCTCTAAATGGAAATCAAAACCTATTTTATTCTGCTTACAAATATAGCACAAAGTGTTTAATCCTTCTTTTCCATGCCTAAGCCAACTGCATGCACATGCCAGCAACATCATTCCCAGCCACAAAATGGGGGAGAGCCCAATCTTGGTCAGGGTTAGAAGAGGACAGAGCTCTTGAATTTACTTCAGACAGGCATTCCAAACTCTCAGGCTGACTCCCAGGACTGTGAGCAGCTCTCCTGCTGAACCAAGGAGGTTCAGAGCCTGAGCCAGGCTGGCATCACACCCAGTGCTGACCAACAGCACAGTGAAGAGGGAACACAAGAGGATGACAGCCAGCTCAACTCCTCTTCTACAGGGTTTTCTGGAGGCTAAACTAACCATCTGAAAAACAAGGAAATGCATCATATTTGCAGGCAGGGTCAAGACCAAGTTGCATAAAGACAACAGAATTTTCTCTCCGAGCCACTCCTGGTAGCCCTGCCAAGAATGAACCCCTGCAGCTCAGCAGAGCAAGCCCAAGGGGCTGTGCAGGCACTGCCCGCTGGTCACCATGGCACAGACACCACTGATGGGCACCAGCAGAGTGGAGAAGAGTTACAACCAACACCACTTCCTAGCACAAGCTGGCGCTGCCAGGCTGCTTCAGAAGAAGCCCTCCCCACGCCGAGAGGCAGCAGGGACAGCCAGCCCGAGCCAGGTCTGCAGCAGCCCTGCTCTGCATCAGACACTGAGCCCTCAGCTGCACCCTGCACCCACCTGGGGACCAGGCTCCAGGCACAGGCAAAGCAGAAAAAGCCCAAAACATTCCCTTCAGAAAACGGCTGAAGGATCTGAACTTGTGTGTTCTGAAGAGGAGAGGGCTGGCTGGGGTCTGAGACCCAGCAGCTCACGGACCTGAAAGGATTTTGGAGTGGCAAAGAACAATCTGTTCTTTACGGTTAAAGTGACAGAACAAGAGGCAACGGGTTTAAAAAGCACCACGAAAGGGTTCCTGGCAGTGTCACTGAGGCACCCTGCTCTGGGGGCAGAGGGCTCCCGTGGCAGGCTGGGGGCACCCTGCTCTGCAGAGGGCTGCACCCCAGGCTGCTCACACTCCTGACCCCCACGTTTCCACTCCAGCCCAGGGACACAAGGGCCTGGCTGCTGCCACACTGCAGCACAGCTTCACACGGGTCCTGCTCCTCGGGGGCTCCGAGGGCTGCAGGGCCGACGCTCTCCCTGTGCCCCTCGCTGGCAGCACCCTGGGGCACACGCTCCCCACTCCACCCCGGCAGAGCAGCCTGGGAACAGCACAAACGCCAGACACAGCCGTCAACAGTCTGAGGCACAAAAATAAATACCCACAAACTCTAGGAGATTTGTTCAGATGCTGTTACCTAAAATACCTTTGAAAAACCCACATTAGGGGCAGCTTTGTAACACACAGCATAAAACTCTCAAGCTGCTGCAACAGTGTATAACAGCATCTATTTACAACTGGAAAGTCTCACTGTAAATTGATAAACAACAACTAAATTTTACAGAATTAAGGCTATCTGCACAAAATGTAAAATACTAGTTGAACAATGTTTTCTTCTTAGATAAATCTTCTGCAACATTTCTGAAACACAGGGTCCTTCCCAAAAGTAACACTGTAGAAAAAGAGGCTGCTCTTTTTGGTAAGGGCACAAACACTAAATGTTATGCAAAGTAGTCTGGGAGCCAAGGTATGGATTATTAATGAGAAGAAAAGCTAAAATTTGAAAGTAAAAGCTGAATGAACTACCAAACATACGCATAAACAGACAGTTCCAAACAAAGCAAATGGATAAGCCAGGCAGTGATGTAATGAATAAACACCTCACTGATACTTCTAGCTCAACTACTGCTGGGACAGAACAGTGCACGGATTTTGGCATTTCCCCGCAGTGGAACAGGGCACAGAACCCAGGGACACTGCTGAGCCAACATGCCCAGATCTCCTGCACTGCCCTGGGGCATCTGCAGCACCTCCAGTGAGATAACCAGCCCTGGCAAGGAGCCTGGCCACAGGAGCCAGGAAAAGGGCTTTTGGAACGTTCATTTGTCTCCAAAACAAAGCTGCTGCTCTTCAGGAAGACCTGAAAGGCACAAAGCAATTTCCAGTTTTGCTCTGACTTTGTACAGTCATATCACTTCAAATTTATTTCAACCTATGAATAATTTTGCCACAAAACACATTTTGACTGACTGGTACTGATAGTGCAAAAATGATTCATGATGTTATGAAAAACGCTGAACAGAGTGGCTGCTTAAAATAACGACATAAAAAGGAATTGTTTCTTGCATGCATCTTTTTAGAAGAGTTTGGAAATAAGTTTGTGATACAACTTCAGAAAATAGAAAATACAGTAACAAATTCAGCCCCTGGGCTTTTTACATTCTCATCAAGATGTGACAGACCCTGAGTGAACCTCTGTAAAAGTCAGAACACACATCTGTTGCATGTATGAAATAATCAACAGACAAACCAGAAATCACTTTATTGCATTGCAGCCATAGCTGCATAATCAGAACTCAAATTCTCATGTCCACTAGTATTAAAAAAAAACAAACCCAAAACATTGCCTCCAGTTTGAGCAAGGGACCTGTGCAGTACACTAGCACGTTCTAGTTAGAAAATACAAGATTTTACAAATATACCTTTCCAAAAGCAGACCACAGACTGCATTCAGATATTTTGGTTCTCTGCCATGTGTGCACACACACACACCTAGCCCTGACTGACATTCCGAGGGACGCTCCCCCCGGCCTTCCCAAACCCTGCTGCAACAGCAGCGCCACAAACACGCAGCAGGCGGGGGCAGCGTCCCTGCCGGACAGGGCAGGCCGCGGTCCCCGGGCCACGCCGGGGCTCGGGAAGCCTCGCACGGGACTTGTTGCTTCACATCTCCGGAAAAACGAGCGTTCTGCCCAGGAGACAGGGAGGCGATGCTGGGGCAGCGCCGGCTGCCAGCCCCGGTGGGAACGAGGGCGAAGCCGGGCTTGTCGGCCCGGCTGTGCCAGGAGCGGCTGGCGCTGCCCCCGCCGCGGTCCCGACAGCCCGACCGGCTGGCTGCCGCTCGGGACGGCCCCGGAGGATGCCGGGCGGGCACGGCCGCAGGGCGTTCATCCCGGCGGCCGAAGCGGGGAGCCCCCGCTGCCGCCCCGAGCCGCGCGGGGCCGGCGGCGGGGGAGCGACCCGCGGCGCCGCCGGGCCCGGGCCGCCCGCGCCCCCTCACCTGCGCTGGGCTCGGCTCCGGGCCGGGGCGGGCGGGGGTCGCTCAGTCCATGGGCCGGGCGGGACCGGCGGGGCGGCACAGGGCAAACACCAAAGAGAATGAGCGGGGCGGCGCGGCCCGCCGGAACTGACGGCACCGCGCCGGGGACGGGGCGTCCGCTCAGCCAATCGGCAGCGAGCGAGCCCCCAGAGACACCGCCCCTCGCCGCGCCTCTGACCAATGACCGAGCAGCCCTGCAGGGAGCACCGCCTCCTCCGCGGCGACTACGAGTCCCAGCGTGCTCCGCGGGAGCCGCAGAGCGGGAAACTACAGCTCCCGGCGTGCCCCGCGCGGGGCCGGAGCCGGCTGTGCAGCAGCGTCCGCGGTCGCTTCCGGTCCCGCCTCGTCCGTTCCCGCGGCCCGGCCCCGGCCGTTCCGGCCCCGCTCCAGCGGGCCGTGCGCCCGGGGGAGGCGTGGGACGGGCGGGCACCCCGCGGGGCCGGGGCCGAGCGGGAGGGAGCGCGGATGGCCATTTAACCAAAATGTCACGTTCCTTCGCACGCGAAAGGCGCACAAGTAATGCCGGGAGTCACAGCGCCGCCGGAGCCCGCGCACACACCCGGCCCAGCAGGCGCCGCCAGCCCCGGTCACAGCTGCACACAGCTGGACACACACACAGCTGCACACACACAGCTGCACACACACACAGCTGGATACAGCTGGACACAGCTGGCTGGAGCACACCCAGGGCGCTCCGGGCCTCGAGCTGTGCGGGTGAAGCCCGGCCGGGGCCCCGGTGCCCGAGCACACACGGGCACAGCAGGCAGCTGCTCGCCCCGGGAGCCGGCAGCAGCAGCGGCAGCGGCAGAAACAGCACCCGCAGAGCACACACGGGCACAGCAGGCAGCTGCTCGCCCCGGGAGCCGGCAACAGCAGCGGCAGCAGCAGAAACAGCACCCGCAGCGGCAGCAGAAACAGCAGCGGCAGCAGAAGCAGCAGCGGCAGCCGAGGCGCTGCCCTCGGGGCTCCAGGCCCCAGAGCTCCTCAGTTCCGTTCTCAGGAGACGCGGAGAGCACCCGCCTGACACCTCCCGGGTCACGGCTCTGAGCAGGAAAACCGCGCCTGGAGCCTGATCCCTGCTGCGGGGCACACAGCTGCCCTGGTGTTCCACAGCCCCTGTGCCTCCTGCTGAGCAGCCAGAGTGGCAACAGCTCTGCTCTTCTCCCACAGTGTCAGAGGTGCTCTGTACGATCCTACAATGCACCTAAACTGTTATGGAAAGAAAAACCTCACAGTCCCACTATTCCACATGCTATCCTACGTGTAAAACATCTTTTTTTAAAACAACTATATTCTTCTGAAAGAGTAAGAGCACAGTGACAGGCATTTTAAACAAGTACTTCTTATTTATTCACAATTCAGATAAAGTTTAAGGAAAGACAAAAGAAATACAAAGGACAACATTAAAATGAAAAGGAATTTTAGTGACTGAAGTGAGTTTCTACAGCCAGGGCTCTCCACACGTTTCCAAGTATTATCCAAACACTGCAGATGCAGATTTCAAATCAAGCCCGTAACAAACCGCTATGACTATTCCCTTTGAAATTAAACTGGGAATGGAAGTTAGCCACCTTTATCTGTGAGTACACAAACCATCAAATTCTTCAGTTTCAGCTTAAAGCCACACCTATCTTTTACAAGATGGAATCTGCAATACAATTTCAAGCAGCTTTTTCGTTTTGTCCGAGCTCTGCTATAGCAAAGTCAGCGTCGATGTTCTGCACAACAAACCAGCTTCTGATCTTGCTGTGGAGTCCTGCAGCTCAGAGCAGACTCACGCTGGCAGCCTGGAGGTATCCCTGGAGATACTGCAAGGCTTCTGCGTTCAGGCTGGTGCTCAGCATGGACAGAACCTGAGGCACAGGGGAGCAGAGGTGTCAGTGGGTGAAACACGAGCCCCTGCTGCACAGGGCCAGGCACAGAGCAGCAGTTACCCAGGGGAAAGCAGCAGGCAGTCTCTGCTTACCCAAATTCTGGGGAAAACAAACAGGCTATGGCCTACAAGAGTTAACTGTACACTCACCCTGTCTAGTTTTGTATGAGCTGCCTGAATTCAACAAGTGCATGCAACCAACCAAACTCGAGACACATATTAGTTATAGACCATCAAGTGTGTAAATTTTCTTTTTTAAAATGGCATATTTAAACTTGTTGCAAAATTATGTGCTGTGAAAATAAAGCCTTTCTAAGGCTCCTAAGGAAAAACCTTACAAAAGCTGTATTTCAGTGAAGAATAAAACAGCACGATCTCGCATTCTAGTTATGACCTACTTCATTTTGCTGATTATCCAAAGAGATTTTATTATTAGCAAAGGGAGCCATTCTCACGAAGGTGTTCCTTCTCTGCAGAATGCAGCATCACCATGCAAGTGCACAAGTCACCTACCCTGCCTGGGCACGCTGTGGACAGTTTGTGGAGAGACTGTGCCAGATGGATTCTAGGATTGTTCACCATCTGACCTACAGGATCGTGTTCCTTCTTCCCAGCAAAGGCTAGCTGGGAGAATGCAGTCTGGTAGCCTGGAGTATCCTCTATGTCAATGAAGTGCTCCTCGTCAGGGATCGTGTCATCCTCAGGCAACTCAAAGAGGCCAATGAGGGCCTGCAGCAAAGGAATCCTGGCAGCAAGGGGGAGGGCAGAAGTGCAGAGCTTAGAATACGTTAGGACAGGCTGTGGTTTACAAGAACACTCAGGTTATTTGGAACCCCTTAGACTTTAGCCTTTGCAGGTACTGGCTTGGCTACTGAAATTGTAAATGCCCAAGGTATGCTGGAGCAGAACTGCGGGTCTGAATATTTTACAGGCATAACTCCTACCAACAGCATGAGCAGTGTATGTATTTACAGGTCAAACTGGCATGAAACATACCTAAAAAGAGAAATCATTTTCCAAATCACAACTTTCCTCTGAGTACTTTAAAATCAAAGTTCTAGTTGGGGATCTAGTCTGGGATCCAGTGATTGTCACCAAATTCAAACTACCAGGCATGCTGGACTGGTTGACAATCAAACTCCCCTGGTAGCTTTCCCCAAAATTCCACTCTCATGCTGAGATATTAGTTTCTCTGCCAGTTTATGAATATGCTCAGATCTCCTGACCAGAACAGCTGTAAGTCAAAATTGAACCTAGCTTTTCAGAAAGAATACAAAGCAGTGTATTTCCCTAAATGGATTTCCTAAAATGTATTTCCCTATTTTCCCTAAAGGTCCAGCTAGCCAAATCCATGCTATCTCCATCAAGAACATCTCAAACCAGTTCTGTCACCCTCTCTGAAAATACAGTTTAATTTGCTGAAAAACAGGAGCAGGATGAGGAGATCACAGTGGAGTTTCCAACAAGAATGTATTTTGGTCTGAGCTCCATTTTCAGTAACTCCAACAGCCTCACTAGCACAGCCTGAAGAAGTGTGGTACCTACCACAGTTTGGTGTACTCAGTGTCCATCATGGGAGGACATTCTGTTAATATTTTTGTAATGCCAACAGCACAGATTTTCTTTTCAACTTGTCCAGACACTTTCTGGATTTCAGGAATTATGATTTTCTCCAACACCATTCCAAACATCCTATGGTGGCATTGAGAGAAAAAGTATTAGAAAGCCTCATTAGCCTTATGGTGACAAAAGAGAACCAGAAACAGTATGAGTCACTAGGGAACAAACAACCAGATAATTTGTTAAGATGCTGCCCTGTTGCAGTAGACATTTGCACATACAAACTTTTCACAAAGGATAATGACTAAAAACATCAGTCTTTCCTTTTTATAATCTTCTTAAATTAGAAACTTGAACTATCAGTGAGGAACTGTGGTCAGAAATTCAGAAAAAAAGAAGACTTTCTAGACAAATAAATGAACCACACTGAGAGAAACTTTGGCCAGTCAAATAATTAGTGATTGTAGTTTGACAGTCTAGCTAAACAGACAACTCTTTCTTACTTCAATAGATAAAAATAACACAGCCATATTAAATACAACCCAGACAAACAAAACATACTAACTTTGGCTGTATGCTGTCAAATATTTCTTGCAGAGCTAATGCCCCATATCTTACACAATACAAGTTAATGAAGACCAGGAAACCTGTAACAAAAAAAAAGTCAAAGTAAAATTTAAGGTGAAAACAAAAGAATAGCTTTAGAGTCAGCAGCAAACTACATTCCAAGTTTTTCAAGGGGATAGAAATGGCAGTCTATGTGTGTTCAGTTTAAATGAAGTACTTGAACATGCTGCCTTGAAATTTGCATAAAAACTGATCTTTTCACATACCACAACACAAAAACAAGACAAGTTATTCCTTTTTCCCCTTACAGCAGTTATAAAAAGGCATTAGAAAAGCCATTTGCAATTTTTTTTCAGATCAGGAACCAAAGAAACTCTTCCAAAAACTCTACTTTTGGCAGAAAACTCCACACAATGCAGACTCTGAGGTGAGGTATGAACCCCCACAGGTCCAGTATATTAAAAGCACCACTTCAACTTTATTTGTGGAAGACCATTATAAGCAACTTTATCATTCCTGTTCCTATCAGGTGGCATTAACCAGATTTTATAGGGCTAAGTAATGGACACTGCATAATTTGGGTAGCAATAGTATCATTAAAATAATTTAATAACTACGACAATCTTCTCATGACAGCATGAATAACCAGAATATGTACTGCAATAACCTGTCACAGCTTTGCCAGTTTAACATCAAACCTTACCAGTAAGTTTAGTCATACTGAGACCAAAGTGACACAAGCATGGGGTATTTCAGAGCACTAACACACAACTACAGTGACTACAGCACGTGTGCTCAGTATTGCTGTGCTGCACCAGAGGGGAAGTTTGCTGCTCTGGCTTGGAGAGTAAATGGAGACATTTTCAATAATGACATCATACACTAGGAAGGGAAGAGAAATATGCAAGTCTTGTTCATTATTTTAACTCCATTCCCTCAATTTCATGAAGTAAGTGTCACCTGCTATGGTGACTGCCCCATGCACCCCTCTTGATGACATTTGCAGCCATCCTGGGAGTCACGCCGTCCCTCGGTCCGCGTGTCCTGGCAGCTGCACCTCTGAACTGCTGCTGCCACTAGAGCAAGGAACTTACTTTTGATAAATTTTGT